CATTTGTGTGCCATTTGTATGTATTGTATGGGCAGCGTGTGGCTCAGTGAGCTAAGCCTCAGTGCGTGTGATGGGAAGGTTGCCAGTTCAAGCCCAGCCTCGGCACATCTGTGGCTCCTTCAGCAAGGCCCTTAACCCCCAGCTCCCGGGGTGCTGCTATGGGTGGCTGTCCTTCATAACCAGCTTCCTCTCACCTACAGAGGGTAAGTTGGGGGAGGCGTAAAGAGAATTTCCCCACAGGGATCAATGAAAGTATCAATTCTTAGTATAGACGCATCTGCCAAATAAATATATTTGGTGTGAGGATGTTGTTTTTTTGCGAAAACACAAGTCGAAGTTGCAGAGTTCCATTCGTGACGCATCAAAGGTGGTCGCCGTCTGTCCTCTAGGTGAATATGGTTTGCACATGACACCATGGTGCAGCACAAATCATTAACTTGCAGAGCAGCAGTGTCAGGCCACACAGACCACGTTTAGCCTCTAGAAAATGTGGGACAGTGGTGATGGCGGAAGGGCGACACGCTACCTTTTTAAAACCTGTCACCCAACACGACTGCTCCATCCCACCCTCTGTGCACACAGATATATTTGTATGACCGATCGTTCTCTGCTCTGTTGCTGTCTGACTCGGCAAAAGGAAGGACCCTTGGTTTCTTTGTGCTGGAGCAGCATGAGGTGACAGCAAGATGTGTGTCAGAAATGAGCTGCCCACACCCTACTGCTGTTTGCATAAGGAGCGGGACCAAGTTGTTCTGCAGAAAAGAGAGAAAAGGAAACACTGGGCGTTGTGAGCAGGCATTCAAATCCAGAGCCAAGTCCCTCAGGAGAGATGATGTAATGCTCCCTTGCAGGCTGCTCATAGTTCACCGTCCCTCTGATCCCGTTTCCTATTTAAGTTTACTATCTCCTTCCCACAGGTGAATCGAGGAGACGGCATCCATCTTCTTTCTGCCTTCTTTCATCTCAGTGACTCCTCCCTTCTGAGGTTGTTTTAGAACATCATGTAATGAGAGCCCTAAACATTGGGGTATAGGATCTGGGGGCGGGGGGCAGGTACCCCCCAATATTTCATTTGGCTTCATTCCTCCCCTCGCTAATAACTTTGCATTTAAATTATGGAGTTTTAAATTATGGGGATGGTGTCCCCATATCAAACTCTCTCCTACGCCCTTCCCTAAACAAATCATCTCATATGCCTTAAAGAAACCAAAGATGCAGAAACAAGTTACACAAGGAAACACTACAAAATAAATCACCAGTAAAGCTAAGCTAACCATTGTATCAGTAAAAATAATAAAAGATTGAATGCAACATGCTCACAGAGTATATAGTTTAATGTCACAGGGTCATGCTGAGCATTAAGCAGAAGTGGGGCAATTTTATTTTGAAATCCAGCAACTCTCAGGGACGATTTACAGACACCAGTTCAACTAACCTGGTTGATTCTTTACTGTTTTGGGGGAACTGGGGTAGCAAGAGGAAAGCCATGCAAAAAGGGGGGAATATGCACACTCCACATATAGTGGTAGGGCAGATCCTACTACCAGGGGGGTGAGGATATCACTGGCCCACCGCACTGCCCTTTTTTATTACGCAATCAAAGTGTTTGACAATGAAATATATAAATGTTTCGGCAGGGATGTAGGGCGATGGGAGTGGATCGTAAAAGTTACAGCAGGATCATTCATAAGCAGGTGCCTTAGAGACACCCGTGGAGCTTTGGTCTGCTGCTGGCACGCGCTCGTGCGAGGAGCACCTGGCTTGTGCGGCGAGGGAGACAGGTGCTGGGCCATCGCATGCTGAGCTCCCTCCTGCCTTCACACTCCTTCGACTTCCATTCATCTCGCACAACAGCAGAGATTCCTGGGATGATGGATGCTAAAGGTGCTATTTTGGGTAGCTTGTGTGTGTTTTTAAGTTCTCGCCCATCTTCTCCATCTCGATAGTGGTGCAGGTGGCCCCCTTGGTCCCACGGTGTTTACGTGATCAGATGGCACGCTAAACTGAAAGTTTCGTGAACTTTTTTGTTTCGTCCTGCCCTTATTGAAAAAAAGTGCACCGAGACTTAAAAGCAAACTATTGAAATTTGGTTTTGTGCATGAAGTGAGGGAGTGAACAAGGGATGTGCAGTCGGTCAGGAGCGAGTAAAGAAACAAACGGGCAAGCATAAGGATCTGAGCAACTTTGACAATGGCTGAATTGTGATGGCTAGACAACTGGGTCAGATCTTCTCCAAAACAGCAGGTCCTATGGAGTGTTCCTGGTATGCAGTGGTCAGTACCTACCAACAGTGGTCCAAGGAAGGCCAACTGGTGAAATGGTGACGGGGTCATGGGTGTCCAAGGCTCATTGATGCTTATGGGGAGTGTAGACTAGCCCATCTAGGCTGATCCCACAGGAGAGCTACTGTAGCGCAAATTGCTGGCTATGATAGAAAGGTGTCAGAACTCACAGTGCATTGCAGCTTGCTGTGTATGGGGCTTCATTGTCACAGACTGGTCAGAGTGTCCATGTGGACCTATGATCATTGCTGAAAGGGCCTACAATAGGCATATGAGCATCAGAACTGGATTATGGACCAATGGAAGGAGATCGCCTGGTCTCATGAGTCACGTTTTCTGTTACATCATGTGGATGGCCGAGTACGTGTGCGTCATTTACCTGGAGAAGAGATGGCACCAGGATGTACTCTGGGAATAAGGCAAACTACAATAGCCCTTCAAGGCAGTGGTATTCCCCAATGGCAGTGACCTCTTTCAACAGAATAAATGCCCTGCCACACTGCAAAAAAACTGCTAATGTCTTGGTCCCAGATACCACAGGACATCTTCAGAGGTCTTGTGGAGTACATGCCTCAGTGGATCAGAGCAGTTTTGATAGCACAAGGCGGACCTACACCATTAGGCAGGTGTTATGGCAGATCAGAGTACATCTCAATTTCAGACCCTTATTGGTGGTTATCGTGTCCACACAGAAGTATTGAAAAAAACATTACTTATTTTTTTTTATTTTGATTACATGAAACTTCCATGAAGTGACACAAGTGCTTTACTCAGCAACCAAATAATGTGGCATCCCCTTTTAACCATGTTCTCTGTACCTTTACAGAATAGGCAATGTAATGTATTTCTATATGGAATACTTAGAATTCTTTGTTTTTCTTTATTTTCAGTTTGTAATCTTTCACAGTTTATGAAACTGTCAACAAATTGGTAACACCTTACCAAATACTTAGTAATAACTTAGTTACTACTGAAGCACAAATCATAAACAGAGTTGCTGCTTCAGATAAAAGATGTATCCCGATTCATTAATGAACAAAACAATAGATCAGCATTTCACTTGTGTTATTCATGACTTGTTCCTTCAGTAGTTCCTTCAGCAGTTAACAAAGGTTTACAGAATTAACGGATATAGTAACAAATACAGTAACTGCTGTGATAAAACATGCGTGACTATTCATTAATGATGAATCATCAGTATGTAACTAAAACTTACTTTGGGGTTAATTAATGCATAAGTAATAATGTAATACTATATTATTTGTGCCCCGTCAGGTAAAGTATTACCGAAATATTTTGAACCAAATCAACCTTTAACCTTACGTGTCCTTGCAGCGCCTCTCGCGGGGAACAGGGAAGGGAGGTCTCGGTTAGCGCTCTCACGCAACCTGGCCAATCTTTAACCCGGGCGCCGCTCTGTGCTGCACGCGATACAGCTTGACACTTTTATAGCTGCTCATTTAACCGACTCGCTGCAAAACTGGAAACGTTACTGTAAACTAATTAATGGCTTAATGACGTTTGTAGATCACAGCTGACATTAACTTGCTTATAATGTAACGGCTTAAATAAAGTTAAAATAAAATCTAATGTCTTCGTTGAAATGCGCCAAAAAAGACATTCAGAGTACTAATACATGGCTGATAGAAAATTAAATAATTGCTATGTATTCTGTGACTTCTAATGTGTCAGATTTATCAAACCGTCAAAAGCAAATGCTTTGATTAAAACACTTAGGGGCTAAAAGTTTTACCGCCCAGAAACACGCACCTTCGCACGCTAAGAACCTCCTTTGCAAGCTAAAAGCGAGTCTTACCTCAAGGACTATAAATTACATTTAAAAAGAAAAACATTTAATGACGCACGAAGTGTAGGCTATATTAATTCATCCTTCACTTAGATTGCTGTTCATACTAAAATTTCTTTTTCTTGGAGGATTTTACAGATTAATGCAATGATTAAACACAATGTATGCAGTACTTAATCACAACGTAAGTTACAATTTCGTTTCCGACGCGTTTATACGTTAACTTAATATAAAATACCGCAGGCATAAAAAAAATGAAATATATTATGCATTAGTACAAAATTATGAATAATATATAACATTTTATTTGCCCCAATATGCCTATATTAAAATCATATAACAACGTGAATATAGGCGACATTAAAAAGCAATTAAGTTATACATCCCTGAGTGTCCTGTCATATGGATGTAATTGTATTCATGGTGATTCCTCCGTGCATTTTCTCTACCAGCTTTAATGTAATAATATCGGCTGGTTTCAGCGTTGATATGCATAACATCTGCATATTATATAAATTAATGATTTAAAATCATATCAATACTAAATGTGTGCATTATTTTTAATTAGTATTACTGCGCGTAGTACGTAACTAACTTAAGTAATTTATTTTCAATACCAACGTGTGTGTGGATTAGGTTTATATTACTTTGTGGGGACCATTTTTCAGGTCCCCCACAAAGATATATGTCACTGCAATCAAAAAGCGAATTTTCTCTAGCTGGTTACTTAATGGTTAGGGCTAGGGCTGGTTGGGGGTTAAGGTTGTCATGTCGGAATTAGAGGTTTCTGCATAGAAATGAATGGAGAGTCCCCACAAAAACACAATTACAGTCCTATGTGTGTGTGCGTGTGTGTGTGTGAGAGCACGCGCGCTTCCTGCGTCCCTTTCCTCTAATCTCGTTCTGGTCTGTGATTCCTGATATATTACGATCTCTTCAAACACTTGCTGATTTCATATGGAAATAGACAGTTACTTGCGTCACACAGACACTGGCCAATAGAGCCCCGGGGTCGCTGTATAAAAGAAACGTATATATAGTACTAGTTCATTTCATAAACAGAAACGGGAGGATTTATATTATTTTCAGCAAAACAACGTAAACCGACGGCAACTGCAGGTTCGCGTTCACCTATTGTATCTGAACGCCTACGATCACAGTACCAAGGTAATTATGATTGAATTCCATATATTGTAATTACAAAATTGATTTTTTTTTCGTCAGTTTGAAAAACTGTGTTATTTTGCAGCTGTTTTAGTTGCCTAGAAGAAACTGTAATTTCAATTGGTAATCTATATTTGTCTATTGTCTAAAAATAACTGAATGAGCTTAGCAAGTAAATGAAGCAGTTGAAAGTTTTTCCCAAATTGGAATAATTTTTCAGATTTCCAGTTAACACTCTATCGATAGATCTGGTCTTTGTACTCTTAATAATTAGTTGCTAAATTAAAAAAAATGTAATTAAAAAAATTCTTCTGGAAAAACCAGGCAACATCAGGAATACTTAGCATTAATTTAGTGACCTATTTAATGTCATATCTAAAACCCCCAAAACCGTGTTTCTTTGTCAGTCTGAATGCAACCCTTCCCTTAGGATGTCAGTTCCCCTTAAATGTAATTATCGCCTTTCATTCAGAAACCCCAGTCAGGACTTGAAAAGCAAGGGGGAGTGTTTTTAAACACTTGTTTTCAACTTCTCTTCAGTGTCATTTTGTGTTCTCTGTTTTTTTAGGAGTGATACTCCAAGCCTCTTATATGAAAATGGCGCTAATGAATCTATCAATGGTGGGTTCCATCTCAGTGTCGGAAAGTCTGGTGGCTATGGCTACAATGTGCATTGTGTTCCTGATCTTTCGATTACTGCGCCCAAAAATCCCAGAGGGTCTTCAACAGCTGCCAGGACCCAAGCCGGTCCCCATAATTGGGAATGTGCTGGAGGTGGGGAGGAATCCTCACCTTAGCCTAACTGCTATGGCAGAGCACTACGGTTCTGTCTACCAGATTCACATCGGCATGCGTCCTGTGGTGGTCCTCAGCGGGATCAAAACTTTGCGACAGGCCCTCATCAGGCAAGGGGAGGATTTTGCCGGCCGGCCAGACTTGCACAGTTTCCGTCTCCTACTTGACGGAAAGAGTTTGGCGTTCAGCACTGATTTATCCGGAGTCTGGTATACCCGTCGAAAACTGGCCACCAGTGCCTTGCGCTCATTTTCCATCGTAAAGGGCAGCAGCGCTGGCTACTCCTGTATCCTGGAAGAGCACATCTGTAAGGAGGGCGAGTACCTAGTCAAGCAGCTCAGCTCTGTCATGGAAGCAGAAGGCCACTTTGATCCATTCCGCTATATCGTGATTTCGGTTACCAACGTGATCTGTGGCATGTGCTTTGGCCGGCGGTACCACCACGATGACCAGGAACTGCTGAACTTGGTGAACATGAGTGATGAGGTTGGACGTGTATTGGGCAGCGGGAACCTGGCTGACTTCATCCCTTTCTTACGGTTCTTGCCTAATCACACTATGAAAGCCTTCCGGGAGATCAATGATCGCTTCACCACTTTTGTGCAGAAGATCGTCATGGAGCACTACACCACCTTTAACAAGGTCTGTTTGGAAAAATCTGTATTATGTATTTTGGAGTAATCCAAACTATTTTCCAAATTGGGCTTATTGTTCATCAATATTTTATCTTTTAGAAGAATATCCGTGACATCACAGATTCTCTCATCAATCACTGTGAGGACAGGAAGGTGGATGAAAACTCAAACATCCAAGTCTCTGATGAAAAGATTGTTGCCATTGTCAATGATCTCTTTGGTGCAGGTGAGTAGATCCGTATTTTTCAACTGTGAAGACAGATGTCCTAAAAGTCAGCCTCAGGTATACATGCCAATATGTCTGAGATATATAAGTGCATTCAAGAGTGTTTAATTAATCATAACTTATTTCGTTATTGCTTCTTCCTCCAGGATTTGATACCATAAGTACAGCACTGTCATGGGCTGTTGTGTACTTGGTTGCTTACCCTGAATTCCAAGAGAAGCTCCATCAAGAACTGAGTGAGTCATATTTTGGCTAATTAGGGTATTTAAGTTTCTTCGGCATTGAATGTTGTTCAATTGAATGCTTGCTGACACCGCAGTTACTCTCTGACTCTTGGTGACTGGCTAATCACATTTGCATGCTCATCTTTGCAGGGGAGCGTGTTGGAATGGATCGTACCCCACGTCTCAGTGACAAGCCCAAGCTGCCGCTTCTGGACGCCTTCATTATCGAGCTATTCCGCCACACATCCTTCCTGCCTTTCACCATCCCACACTGGTGAGTCAGGGGCACATTCTAATAGTCCTGCTTTTTTCCATTGATGACTTTAATCAATGACTCTTTGGGTGTTAGATGACTAGAGGTGTAAAGATTGGTGATTGGACTGTTATTCAACATATTTTGGCTCCAGAAAAGCTGAAAGAAGTTGCTATCAATTGAACTACTAAGAGTAACACCTTACAAGTAACTGTAACCTCTACTAGAAGGTTGCAAAATCTCAGACACTAATTAATTTCTGGACATAAAAAAAAAGTTGTCATAATTAACATGCTACTGTTCTCTTCACAGCACAACTAAAGACACAGCACTCAATGGGTTCTTCATCCCTAAGGACACATGCGTCTTCATCAATCAGTGGCAGGTCAACCACGACCCGTAAGTTCTACCTAATGTATATCCATCCGTCATGTTTAACACATTTACAGTCATGTGAAAAAGAGAGTACACCCCCTTTCAGTTCTATGGTTTTATGTATCAGGACATAATAAAAAAAATTATCTGGTCCTTACCAGGTTCTAAAATAATTTAAATCTAACCTCAGGTGTTATACTACACACAACAGATTCCACCGTGTCATTTTTTATTTCAAAATGGAGAAGCCATATGTGAAAAATTACACCTCATGATTCAATAGCTAGTAGAACCACCCTTAGTAGCAGTAACTTGAAGTAATCACTTTCTCCTCAGTCTTCTTGTTCAGTCTTTTTCTAATTGTACTGTCATGAACTTTAACATTTAACATGCTGTCTGAGGCCTGTAGAGTCTGAGATGTAGCTCTTGGGGTTTTTCGCAATTTCTCTGAGCGCTGCATGGTCTGACCTTGGGGTGATTTGCTGGGATGTCCACTCCTGGGAAGATTGGCAACTGTGTTGAATGTTTGCCACTTGTAAATAATCTTTCTCACTGTAGAATGATGGATTTCAAATTGTTTGGAAATGGCCTTATAACCCTTCCCATATTGATGGGCAGCAACAATTGCTTCTCTAAGATCATAGCTGATGTATTTCCTCCTTGGCACTGTGTTAACACACACCTGAATGCTCCAGACCAGCACACTGCCAAAACTTCTACTTTTTTAGAGGTGGCCACACTTGCTGATGGTCAATTAATCAAGTGCATTTGATTAGCAGCATATGGCTGCTACTTACCCTCTTCATTCCTATGGAAGCAATAAGGGTGACTTTCATTTTTCATACCTTCTTCTGCATTTTGTCATGTCATGTGTTGTTGTTCATATGAGGTTTTATCTACCTAATTTTAAGACCTGCGAAGGACCAGATTATTTTTTTACTATGTTCTGATACGATGATTTCTTTTTCACATGACTATATATACCTTGATCCGTGACCCTGACCAGGATAAGTGGTTGTAGAGGATGGGTGGATGGATTGATGGGTTGTAGACATGAATATAGTAATCTGACAATCTTCTGGACATGAAGCCTATTCCTAACCACTGCACCATTTATACCGAGTCTTGCAATGACGTAATATGTGCTGCTTTCTCCTTTGTTTTATAGTACGATATGGAAAGAGCCCTTCTCCTTCTACCCAGAACGGTTCCTAAGCCCCGATGGAACAGAGGTCAACAAAGTCATGGCAGAGAAGGTTCAGTTGTTTGGTATGGGCAAACGTCGCTGCATTGGTGAGACTATTGGCCGCATTGAGGTCTTCCTCTTCCTGGCCATCCTGCTGCAGAGGCTGCAGTTCCACAAAGTGCCTGGGCATCCGCTGGACATGACCCCTGAGTATGGCCTGACCATGAAGCATAAACGATGCCAGCTGGGTGCCCTCCTGAGGGAGTAGGGGGTGGCAAAGCACTGGTGTCCCACCCACAGAGTTCATTTGTGAATATAAGTCCAATAATATGAGGACATGTCATATTTTTTCCATCGCTTTATTCTGAACATGATAGAAAGTTGGTTGAATGTCTAAGAGGTACTACAGATTTTTGACAGATGTACATCAATGTGTTTCCATTTTGTTAATCAGTAGACTTTTGTGAAATGTTTGTTTTTGCCAGTAAGTGATTAACGTGGGCAGTGACTGAAAGGGAGACAAAGTGTGCTGTACTTTAGTATCCAGCACAAAATAAACTACTGCAGTTGTCGTGCCAGTTCATCACAAGACACAAGCACATTAGAGGCATTGTTTCACTTTGCTGCATGGGACGAACATGCAAACTTCAATCACAAAGCAGGGCTGAGACTCGAATCTCCAGGCTTTGCAGTGCTGGCTTTTCACTGAGCTACAAAGTCACCCTATACACAGCCAATGTGTTTTTTCATTGTCTCGCTTTGAAAATGACTTCCTAATACACAGGTTTTTCCTTTGATGAGCAGCAATGATCATGTTGCTAAAACCCATTTTTCTTGTTTGCAAACTGTATATATTAATACATTGTAAGCTGTTCCAGAGAAATAAGTGTAAATTAGTAATACTGAAGGCATTTTGCTATGTCTGAAATTTATCCCAATATGTGGTGTATGTTTTTTTGTGATTGTATATACATTTTACTACATTTTGACTGCAAAAATGTATTTTGTACTTAAATACTATAAGAAACATTAAATATTTTATGAAACATTGGGACTTGTTTAAAAGTGTTCTTCAATTAGGCTACTGAAAATGGTAAACGCCACTGGATTAGTTTTGCACACATTTACAAAGACATCTTTAATTGGCAGAGAAGATAAGAGTCGTATCATCAGTCCTCATCCTGCTGGACCTGCCTCTGACACAATAAACATCAGGTATTCCTGTCCACTCCCTCTCACTGGGACTCCTGTGTAAATATTGAGTCTTTCCTCCCAGGAACATCCTTCTGGATGTCACAGAGGGCAAAACTCTCCTACTTACACCAGGTAAGAACTTGCATTCACTCATTAGAACCTACATTTCAGCAGCTGGTGATTCCTTCCCGCCACAAAAACAAATCTCATTTTATGTGTGCTCTGTCTGGCCAGGAGATTGGCAATATAGTATATATAGTATATAATCACAGATCTTAAGACTTTTGTTCTTAATTACTCTAATTGTTCTCAGGCATATCTACACGTTAGTTGTTAGTTCTAAGGCATTAAGGGGACAAAGATATGATCTTTTATTTGCCATTTGTACAAATATAAATACAGGTATATTGGAATGCTTCTTCTTTTGCATATGCCATCTTGCTTTCCTTTGAGACAGGCTGTGGGGCTGCATTATTTGAAGAACGCAGTCTATGCAGCCATTTCCCCATAATTTACGGCTATTCATATATGCATATACACACACTACATTCAAAAGCTTGGGGTCACTTAGAAAATTTTTGTCCATTAAAATAACATCAGATCGATCAGAAATACTGTGTAGACATTGTTAATGTTGTAAATGACTATCATAGCTGGAAACGGCTGTTTTTTAATGGAATATCTACATAGGTGTAATGGTAGAATGTGGTGTTTCTTAATGCAAGTTTATCATTTTAAAAGGTTAATTGATCATTAGAAAGCCCTTTTGCAATTCTGTTAGCACAGATGGAAAATGCTGCACTGATTAAAGAAGCAATAAAGCTAGCCTTCTTTGGAGCTTTGGTGATGGAAAGGTTGGTGCCTGCAACGTCTCCACGATCTGTGGCGTCTGTCCGGCCTGCTCGCCCTTCCCCCTGTGGCGTCTGTCCGGCCTGCTCGCCCTTCCCCCTGTGGCGTCTGTCCGGCCTGCTCGCCCTTCCC